TTTCTTAAATAATACAAATTTTACATTTTTCTACAATTTACGCATTTCTTGGATAGTTAGACGACAGAACCCAAAAACTTGATCCTCTCATGGTTTAGATTGCAGAAGTCTTGAAAATAAATCTTTTTAGCCTTCCTTGCGACAGCTTTAAAAATAAAAACGACTAAATGAGAGACGAAGGTATTAATACAGTGTATTAAAGGATACCTATTATGTATTATGATTTGATTTAATTTTCGTTCCAATAAGCTTTGGTATCAACTCACGTAACATATGTAATATAAACTAGGAATAACTGCAAAAGACGGGCGTCGTTTGATTTTAAAGAACTCTTGTCGCTCGAACGCCTAGATTTCTCTATTCGAGTGTGCATCAAAAATGTGTAAATTTGGATTAGGTGGAGCACCCCTTTAATAAGAATAATTTAAGTCAAGTGTCTTAGGTGTTTTACGTTTACTAAGTTATTAATAACACTAGAGAGCATAACTATAGCACCAACTTTATTTACATATAATTTATACCTACCTAATGTTAATTAACTTTTTTTATTTTAACAAACATTAAAATAAACTACTACAACAATTATTAATAATAAACTGTTTTGAAGCCAAGATAAAATGTAGTAGGAATTGTTTGGCTTAATTTAGGACCAAAAATAAAAAAAAAATTAAAAAAGTTATTACGAAAAATGCATCAAAGCACTAAGTATTAGCAGTGCCACTGTTGCCGACACCGGCGCCGGCGTCCGTATCAGTTGCCGGCTAAAATCACTTGCCGGCAAAGAATTTAAGTGTAGGAAGGTAATTTCTGCTAGTATAACTAGTATAAACATTTACAAAATGTAAATCAAATGATTTTTGCTTCTTCTGATCGGTATATCTATTAAACTTACTCTGTATACATATTGCTTAATTCATAAAACTGAATAGTTTTCAATGAAATTTTTTTCATTTTCAGGTTGCATGACGGTGTTGGGTCAAAATATTTATATAATATTTGGCATATTGAACTACTGTCACATCAATTTTTTCATATGAGCGATTTTAATTAGACCCTAATATCTTCGTTCCTGTATGAGAATTAGGTGATAGGTGGATGATTTTGCTCTTATGCAAATAATAACAATTGTTATTTTTTTATAAATCAATAATTAAAGTAAACGTTTATGTTAATTAATGTAAATTACGTGTATATGCAAAATTTCAGCTTGTTTAGTAAAAAGGAGCTTTGACTCACAAAAGACAGACAACAAAGCAATTTAAATAAAAGCTTTTAAAAATGATTTGCTAAAAGACTATTATTAAATTCTTCATATGAAAAAAAACTGTTTTCAGCTTCCCTTTTGATGTTTTAATGTTATGTAGTTGACGTAAAAGAGACGATTTTTATCGTAAATAATAAAAAATATTTTTTAAGTTTGTTTAACTGCCTTATTTCAGTATACAGGGTGTTTCAGAAATCGCGCTGTAGAGAAAAAATTCAAATAAGATAAGATACAAGGAAAAAAATGTTTAAAAAATTTCATCTCTTAAAAAATTTGTCAATGAACGCCACGAATAATGTTAAACATAGTTACATAGTTAATTTAGGATACATCTTCGAATCCTCTTCTAATAGTCTGTAGCAAACAAACTTGGAAAATTATTTTTCCAACAGAAATAAATAGTCAAAGTGCACAATTTAAACTCCCATAACTTTAATAGTTATTTATTCTACGAGTTTGAGTGTAAATCGGACGCATTATTTCACCGAGTGGATTTTTAAACCACGAGTGTAACGAATGGTTTATCATCCACGAGGTGGAATAAAGCGTCCGATTTACACTCAAACGAGTTGAATACAACATTTTATTCTTCGAATTAGACTCAACAAGGCTTAAACTTGCTTTAAATCTGTTAAAAATAATCTGACGTTTCGTATTAAGAAATGCCAAACAGTTGTCAACACTTACACGGGAGAAAAATCGTAAATCTTGACACTGTCGAAGAATAAAAAAAATTATAGATAGAATTTAACATTTTTCCATATTTATGGTATCATACCCTACATGTTTTTTTAATAATACAGTGGCGGACACGGAATTTTGGAATCAAATTTATGTCAATTCAAAAATGTCAATGTAAGCCACACTTTATTGTCATTATGATTGACGTTTCAAACTAAGATTTAAAAGTTTTAGTTGAAATTTATTTTTGACGTCGATTTTCCGAAACAATAAGGCCAGCAATACATGTTCTTATAGTATAAGTTCAATAAATTATTTTGATTTGTTGTCATTTTTTCTCTAGCTATCAGGATAAAAATTACAAACACCAAAAGTGAGGTTAGTTGCCTAAGGCCCGTTTACATTTTTATAACAGTCGAATGACAAATCGTCCAAAAATCCGTGTACGCCAGTCTAGTATAAAACAAGTCTTATTAATTTTGTGTGTGTCACTTGATTTGGCGAACCCTGTACTTATCGAAGTACATAAGGGACTGGCAACAAAGGGCCAATGACACCTGCTTGACCGCAAAGACCAGTAGCAGCATCTCGATTGCTGAGTGTAATAAATGTTTAAATTAATCTAGATCCCGAGGCGGTGCCATGACCTAGTCCAGCCACCACTTCCTGGTCATTATCCGCGATAATGAGTGTCGAGAACAAACACCTCATGATTGATCCTCCAGGTCAACCTTTTAACGGACCCATGGTTTATGGTATACCAAATATGGTCGTATGATGATGATGAGGAAGTCGTTTTCAACACAACGGTTTTTCCGCGAAGCTACCCTTCGATTCATTTTGGTATTCTTGTTTGATTTTCGTTTATTCATCGTGACTTGCTTTTCCTCCGGCAAAATTCATCTGAGAGGAATGACTCAGTTTAGGCCATTGTCTTTACCAATTACTTTTTCTTTGCGTACCACCATCATGTTATTTATTTGTACAAGAGATCACGTCGCTTGGACTTTTACGTCTCGTAAATCAATATTGCAACTGATTTATTGCCTACCTGGATCTTGTTAAACTTTTCTTGGACGCAATCGTATGTTTTATAGATTTTTGCTTTTGTATCAGAATGGAGTGGTGGACAGTTTATGGATGTCTGGTACTACGTGAGAACAAAATCCTCGCAGATAGCCTTGAGACGAGCCTTAACGTTCATTATTTCACCTGCATTATTTCATACCGGCACGACTTTTTAGTGAATCTTCTTGATTTGCATTATTTTTTGCATCGGGAGTATTTCTAGACTGCAGAACCATCTGCATTCTTGCATCAGAAAGGCGCGTTTAAACGGTAATATGGCATATCTGGAGGTTCTCTTGAAGCTGTTCTACCGTTTAATGAACTGTTTATAGGAACACATTCGGACAATAATTGCATTTCAGCCATTAATTCTTAAAGCAAATATTTATTTAAAGTACAGAGATAATTGAAATTAAATTGCACTTATTTATCACCCAACGGCATATAATAAAACTGTCAAATTATGAAAAGCGTGAAAATATCACTGTGAAAGGACAATGTGTACTTAACCTCCGACGATGTATGCCTCGATTTTGATTAATGGTTCACCCAAGTATTCATTATATTGCTGCCGTAAATACTGAAAAATAAAAAAAAATTGAGTGAGTAATTTCATTCAAATTATTGTTTAATGTGGTGTGACTTTTTCGCGTTGCCTTATATGACAACTGTCAAGGTTTTCATGCAGGATGTAATTTGTGTTTACAATAATTGTTATTACACAGATTATTCACAGTTTAACTCATTTAATAATGCAAAAATAGATTATTATTAAAACTGTTGATCATTACACATCGCAAAATCTACAACTAGATTTGTTGCACGAACTCTGTAGAAAAAAATAAAAGATGCCACCGTTGTGGCTCAGGTGAATGACTTGCCTGCAATGGCTGTTTTCAGGGGATAAGATACTAGTAAATTGATTTTTCCGAAAAAGAAGTCGCCCACAATTGCTCGAAAATATAATTCACCGATTTTATTAGACTTGCACTTAATTAAAGGAAGCTAATTGACGATGAAAAAAGATAAAGCCATCTGCTATACTGTAATTGCATCATTAAAACCACATTTGCCGTTTCTGTTCTCGATTTTATGCAACAATTTAATAATTTAAGTTAGAAAAAGACTGTTAACAAACGAGCAAGGATTTTAATAGCTTGTAGCTTTTTAAAAAAATACAGCGGATGCCCAAAGCGAGTTCTTATATATACATGTTTACGAGTAATTTATATGGATAGGGGTGCCTCCTTGGGTTTTATTTTTGATCTTAACTAACCACTAGAGGCGATCGGGAAAAAATCCACCAATAAAATATATCTGGAGGTATAATTATTATCAAAGGAACATCCTTGCTTGAATATTTTCTTTATTAGTAGATCGTTTTTTGTGGCGTCGACCTCTCAAGCCACAAAGATCAGTTAGTTGTATGTAATTTATCGATTTTTTTCTTATGCATTATGTAGGCTGCAAAGTTAATTAGTTGTGGTAGGTAATTGAGGAACAGTTAGATACATGTAAAGTTCAAAACAATACTATGACCTGAACTGTCATTATTTTAGCTGTTCTTCCTGTTGGTGTAAAGGTCGCCATGACTAACACAAATCTGTGCTTGCGGTTCAAAATCTCCAATTTTCTTTGTGAGGCGTGTCTGTTGGAACACGAGGTCACTAGCGTTACTGCCATCATCTAGCATTGAAATTTCCGCAACCGCTCCATTTTCATCGTTCTTTCCATAAATCAAGCAATCGGCGCGAAAAATTGCGATTCATTGAAAACATGCACGCCTTGGGCTAAATTTAACATATCCACCTGCTTTCGTTAGAAGAGTATACTGTTGGATAAAGGAACGCAACGTGCTGGTAAAAAGTTGTCTTGACCATATTTAGTTCATATGTGGGATTTTATACCCAGCTGTCTGTACACCAAAAATTCAGTTTGTTCTGCGTTTTGCAGAGAAACATTAAATCATTTTTAGTCATAATTGAATTTTAATCCTCGTGGCGAGCGTGTGTAAAAGTGTTGCCCAACAGGTGATTTGCTGTGATAACATCTAGTCTGTGCCACTATCTGTAAACAAAACTATACCGCATCTCGTAAAGTGACGTAAATAAACATTTAGAGAGACGTTGACGAATCGTGCCACCATATCTGCCGGATTTGGTACGTTGGATGTGCGCTGGCGGTGCAATTTTCTCACATTTGGTGTGCCATTATAACACGCTCATCAATCTTATTTTTTTCTTTAGAGAAAATAGCTTTTGTCTAATTCCATTGTTCACGTCTTGTCTAATATGAACCTTGTTTTGCTCTTGAAGTGAAATATTTTAGTACCAAAGACAATAGAGTCAGTTAAATATTGTTGTTCATCATATCTCTGAGATTTTCGTTCTTGAAATTCTTCTGATCGTAGTAGAGAACTTTTAGTTTCATTACAGTAATGTACTTACTTTAAAAAATGTAATTTCAGATTCAAGGTTGGCTGACCTGTGATAATTTGCATATAAATGCAAATTTAGGTATAAACCTAAATCTACCTATTTTTGAAAAACGGCTGCATTATCCATAAATAGTTTCGGTTTATTTCACCTAATGAAGCACAAACTTGGACAATTTATTATTCCTTTCTATAAACTTTTAAATCTCGTGCTTAGACAATGGAACATAGGCGTCAACTGTAAAATATCTGCTATATAGGAGAGAACATAAATCTTTTTACGATATAGTTTCGACTCGATGTCTCATCAACCAGAACTTTAAAAGTCACACTTTCTTCGACTGACACATAAATCATAAAATAAATACAAGTACTATTTTTTTCTGTTCGATTGGCTTGTAAATCTAAACAAATATCAGCAACCAAAAAATTACACACAAAGGTAGTGGCAACTTTAGACTACTTTTCTACATTTATGCCCGGTTTCCAGTACGATTAAACTTCAGTTAAATTTTATCGTTTCTACGCTAGTAAGGTTGCGCTGTTCTGATTATTAATGTTATATTATACGTTACCAAAAACTAAACGTTAACTAAAGAAATTTAACAAAATTCGTTTTCATTTTTTGTCCCAGAACTCGCACCCTGCCAAGTATGATAAGAAACCAAGAACATATGTAGAAAAAATGTTAAAAAAAATCTATCTATGAGAATTTCGAAATTAGGGAGTTTAAATTTTACACTTTGATCCTATTTATTTCTGTTGAAGAAATGTTTTTTGTTCTAAGAGGAAACAAAGAAGCTTTATTCTGAATTGTAACTATAAAGGATGTGTCAGAACTAGCGCCCCAGAGAAAAATTTCAAGTAAGTTAAGATACCAGGAACATGGAAAAAATGTTTAAAAAATCCTATTTGTAAAAAATTTTTGACATTTGTTTCTTGACATTTGACACTTTTTATGTCTATTTAATGATACTGATAATCTTGTCTATGTCTTTTTATAATTATTTAGTAATAAAAGCCACAAATAACATTAAACAAAGTTAGAATTTAGGACAACTTACTTGTTTCCTCTTATAATAGCCTGTAGCAAAAAAACTTGAAAAATTATTTTTCCAACTGAAATAAATAGAGTCAAAGTGCAAAATTTAAACTCTCATAACTTCGAAATTTCTATAGACAGAATTTTTGTAACATTTTTTCTACGTTTCTGGTATCTTACCTTACCTGGCTTTTTTCTGGGGCGCGAGTTCTGGTGCACTCTGTATTTAACGATATTTGTGGTGTTTTTTGGCAAAGTTTTGTACTACAATAATTATGAAAAAACATACAGGTGTGCCAGAATTTGCGCTCCAGAGAAAAAATTCAAGTAAGATAAGATACCAAGAACATAAAAAAATGTTTAAAAAATTCTATCTGTCAAAAATTTTTGACATTTATTTTTTGACATTTGACATTTTTTTATGTCTATTTAATGATACTGATGATTTTGTATATGTTTTTTACAATTAGTTGGTAAAAGTAAAAAAAAATTTGAAGTAGAAGTAGAAGTGAGTCTTTTAGTGCCGGGATACAGTTTTTTAATTTTTTCGCCAAGGCAATAACATACGAAATCAGGAATATCGTCAAACTCTAGTTTGATATTTTATCTCAAAGACGCATTTGATAGTTTTTCCAAAAATCGCTCTAAATCTGTATTGAAGTCTCCAAAGATACCCTTGCATCAACACGAACGCAAACAGGCCCCTCTTAACTTAAAGTTAAGCCCCTAACGCCGCATTCAATGATAATGAATACAACCGGCAACGTTACATCTATAATAAAAATAGTAGATTATGGGTCGGTTTATAGAGGGCGAATTAAAAATTAATTTGTTGTTAAAAGTTAGGTAATGTGCAATTAGTCCGTGAATCTAAGCATCTGGTTGGTTCTATTTGGTCACGTGATCAGATAATTTGACCTTTTATTGCAATTAACTTAATGACGTTTCTATAAACCGACCCTATATAATTATGAGTAGAAGTGAGTCTTTTTGTGCTAAGTCCAGAAATTGAATGTCGAGTGAAGTCGAGGCAACTGGATGAAGCACAAAAAGGTTTTCTACTCTGAATGATACATGGATGCGCCAGAACTCGCGCCCCAGAAATAAATTTTCAAGTAAGGTAACATACCAGGAACATGAAAAAAAAATGTTTAAAAAATTCTATCTGTCAAATTTTGACATTTACCTTTTTTAATCTGTTTAATGGTACTGATGATCTTGTATATGTTTTTATACAACGATTTAGTAAAGAGACAAAAAAATTGCCAATAGAAGACACAAATAACAACGGAAGTTACAATTTAGAATATAGCTTCCTTGTTTCCTCTTTTAATAGCCTATAATAAAAAAACTTGGAAAATTATTTTTCCAACAGAAATAAATAGAGTCAAAGTGCAAAATTTAAACCCTCATAACTTCGAAATTTTTATAGATAAAATTGTTTTAACATTTTTTCCGTGTTCCTGGTATCTTACCTTATATGGTATTTTTCTCTGTGGCGCGAGTTCTGGCGCACCCTGTATACAAGATCATCGGTAACAATAAATAGACATTAAAAAGGTCAAATGTTAAAAAATAAGTGACCAATTTTTTTGACAGAATCGTTTAAATGTTTTACCTAATTTTTTGGTATCTTATCTCACTTGGCATTTTTCTCTGGGGCGCAAGTCTTGAGACATCTGTGTATTTTGTGATTTTTTTGCAATCGTACTTGAACACTTTACTTTAATAATTTTCAACCCGGAAAGTGCCATTTTACCGGACTAGTCTGCTGAATGTGTTTTTACTGGACTAAAATCCAAGAAATCTTTTTCACCTATCACTTTCGTCGCTCATTTTCAATACGAAATTCTCAACAAATGAATTCTTTAATTAAAGATGGAAAATTTACGATTACAAAAGAAATATTGTACGCACCACGTCCGGAAAGTGCTTTTACTGGCTTCGTAAGCTACCAGGGGACTCGTCTACGACTCGTCCTGGTGTTTGCTTACTTATCCAATAAAAGCTAACTTTCCGGACTAGATACGTAAATATCTATTTCAGTCTTCGAATATAGCGATTACGACGGAACTAGTAAAATTATTGCAGAAAGTTTAATGTAGATTAAAAAAGCTACAAGATAGCATAGGTTCCAGGACGACAGTCAAAAAACACTTTTCAAATATAAGTTTCCAGAATCATAACCTGATGATGAGAGTTTTTAAATTTAGGCAGATAAGATTTTAATCCGTCACCCTGTGCTTTGAATTCCTAATCTAAACTAAACCAATTGTTAAAAGATCAAAAGATATGACAAATTTTGTGTAACACAAGAATGAGGTCTTAATCATTTTGGTGAAACTATATGTAAAACATGGACCTAGTATAATACTACTTCCATGATGTAAAAGTAGTGTAAAATTAATTTTTGTATATAAAAGAATTTTGATATCAGCAACTGTTCAAATTTGCGATCTAGTAGAACCTTAAAAATAGCCTTTGTTGTAAAAGTGATTTATTTATTGTTTGTTTCAGGTCAATGTCAATAGCATTTGATAACACGCCTTGTCCAAGCTAAACGATGGAAGTGGTGGCAGCAACCCCTGGTACTGGTGGAGTGCCTCCTTTTCACGACCATGACGTGCGCGAGTGGTCCAGACTAGACAGTTTGACTGGAGTCCTGGAAAGGGCTCGTTTGGAGACCGACCATTGGACCGCCAATACCAATAATTCCTGTCACAAATACGGAAAGGTCAGTTGCGACGAGGACAAAGGTTCTTGTGGGTGTCGCTAGTTCATGAACTGGCGCCGTTACACACCCTGAATAAAAAATTCCTAATTGCCACTGTGCTCACTGAATGTTTAATTAACGTTGTCTTTGTACAACAACAAAGCGCCCATGTCAATGAATTGGCAGCCACGACTTTTACATCGATTCATTTGGTATTTTTATTAGTCGCAATATCATTACTCCTGTTTGAAAAGTTCGTGATTGTATGTGAATGTAAACCATAAATTAACGTTGCAAAAGCGTGGCGCTTTAGCAATTGGGTGCTGTATGCGAGAAAGACACTTTGAAATTTTTCATTGAAAGCAATTTTGTATATAAACCTAGCGATCTTCCGGCACGCCCACCAAAGGTCGAGGGCAATCACTGTTAACAACCATTTTATTGAATATTATTAAAAACGACAGATTTTATTTTAATTCTGACATTTCAGTCAGATGTTTTATGCATTCTTTACAGTTGTAAAGAGTTTTCACTCCAAAAGGAAATGTTGAGAAAGCTTTTTGGAATTACTTTTTTTTTACTCTTATTAACGGTTAAATATATTATCTTATTGACAAACAAAATTGGTGCTACAAAATACCCTTCAGGTATTCCAAATCAGTTATTAGATTACAACGAAGCTAATTAACTTTAAAATGTGGCAAAAAAATTGTTATTTGGGTGTAACCCAAACTGGTCACATGTTTTATACCTATTTTAGCATCCGCACAACATTCTTGTTTCGGTTTTTATTAAGCGAATGTTCACTTAACTAAAAGCGTGCTCAATTATGCAAATTAAGCTGAGAATTTTCTAATCATAATGATAGCAGTTTAGCTAATTGATACATAATTAGGCTGAACTTGTGACATTTTAACAATCAAATCTGTAAATTGTACAGTTACACAATAATGTCGATAAACAGCTAGAAAGCTAACTGTTTTAACCTCAATTAACCTTATCTTAAGCTCAAAGATAGTGCTATAATTTAATGAGACTTATGAAAAAAATGTGACTTTAACAAAACTTCCTATCATGAATTAGCTTTTCCAACGATTTATTATGTTGTAATGATGTCGATTCCATTGTGTATAACTGTGTACCGTTGCTTTATCTAATTAGTTTCGAAAAGTGGTGAGTTATGTAATGTGAAACAGGGGAAGTCGCATATTTTTATAACTTTCTGCACCACCCACTAGAAAATTACTGTACCAACAAAATTACTATCAATTACCCTTTGAGCTAATGATAGGTACCGTTTACTGACATTTGCCGTTTCTTAATTGAATTTTTTCGATTATTGCGATCTTAAATAATAGACTCTTTTCAGCTCAATGAACCATATTTTTTACATTTCGCACTTTAATAAGGTAACGAAGTTGCTGATACAGCAAAAATTAACCTTCACCTTGCATATCTTCAAAATTCAATCATCAGAAACGTGAAGATTTTTTGAGTCACGACTTCGTCAATTTGATTCTAAACTAACTAGACATGTTAATGTATGTACAATCTCTACTTCCTTTAATAGTTGTAAAATAACTGATGATTATTATTACTTATCAGATAAAGCAACGGCCTGTCAAGACATTTAAATGCCGTTTTTTTTAATACACGGTGACTCTTTTTCATATATTTGCAAATGTTCCAGGTTCCTCATTTCTTGTATCTACTACTAAAACATAAACAATTTAGTCAAATTATAATGCACACATGACAAAACTCTGTTCAAAAAATGTTGCCAATATTTTGGGAATCTAATCTCTTTAGAATAAATAAATAATTAGAATTTCACAATTTTAGGTTTATTGGTTTATTAGGTACACTGGCGGACATGGAATTTTGGACGATTTGTCATTTGACTGAAATAAAAATGTAAAACGGGCCTTAGGCAACTAACCCCACTTTCGGTCTTTGTAATTTTATCTAGGTAGCTAGAGAAAAAATGACTACAAATCAAAATAATTTATTGAACTTATACTATAAGAACATGTATTGCTGCCATTATTGTTTCGGAAAATCGACCCCAAAAATAAATTTCAACTAAAACTTTCAGATTTTGGTTTCAAACGTCAATCATAATGACAATAAAGCGTGATATACATTGACATTTTTTGAACTGACATAAATTTGATGTCCAAAATTCCGTGGCCGCCAGTGTATAACTACTCCTCATACTACCTAGATGCTATCATAGACAGAGGTAACGCCATCATATGTTTTTGACAATGACCACGGCTTTTTGACCTTCAAAAATAATTTCAGTTTTAAATGTTACAAGTAGTACAGTGACGGACAGTGATTTTCGGTCACCTTTTTTACGTGAATTCAAAAAAATTCACTGTAGTCTGTGCTTTATTGTCATGAAAAGTACGTATTGTGAAATTTAATCAAATTCGAACATGTCAGCTGTAAGTACGTTTATTAAAATAGAAATTACTGGATTGGTACTAAACCTCAAGCAACGTAAGACAAAGCAATGGTAAAAAGTAGCAAGGAGCATCGAGCTTTCTGTCAACATGACAAAATAAGCTAAAGGTTGGAAAAACCTAAAGACTAATTTACACTTTTAGACTGTCATGAAAATTGGGCGGGACGAAATTCACTGTCCGTCATTGTACTTAGGTGTATAACGATTATAATAATTGGTCGAAACGAACAATATTACTGTTTTTCAATATTTTTTTTTGTGGAAAATAAAAAGCATCTCATCATTTTCATAATAATTGACAACATCCATAATGTCTACATGGCAATCGTTACAGGTCGAGGTTAAGAATTGCCAGTTTATAGTAAGTAAAATCGTTTATTGTCAACTGAAATAATTCTTCTTGATCCCCTGAGGCCTCCTTATGATTCTCAGAAAAATAATATTTGAAACCTACACAAATCATTATAAATTATAATTATAAAACAATTAGTCGAAGCTAAAGTATGTCCATCAGCATATACATGAGGTAAAGAACCGTAATATCCTAATCATTTTTAAATTGAGTATTTATTTAAAACGACATACAAATAACTGAATAAATGTGACAAACATTATACTATTTCGATATTTAAATATGTAGTGTAATCCATAATAGTGGCAATTGAAGATTTTTGGTCATTGTTGGTTTTATTTGTTTAAATTTATAAATAAAAAAATTAATACAAAAACAATTTAGGTGTATGGAAATTGTCATAACGTAAAACTTCATTTTAAAGGATGATAGATACATTAAAGTAAATTTTTCAATTTACTCCTGTTTTTTCCCTCGGAAAAGTTTTGTATGGTAGAATTCTTTTAATTTTACCCGATTGTTTGTATAAGTACTTTCTTCTTTTATTTAATTTGTAACTTAACATTTTACTTCTGCCAAAGGATATACCGTGTTTACAACTTAATTTGGTATTTTTTCACTAATTTTTATGAAGGTCTAACCGCAAATCATAATTTCTAGACCATAATAAAGCGAGGTAAACAGATTTTCTCAATGCAGACTCATGTTTTTTAAATGAAACACCGTATGTTTCTTTGCATTTTTAGATGTAGCCTTTTAAAACAATGGTTTTACGCTAAACTTTTATTAGTCGATTTCGTTTAGTTTTAGAAATAAGAATTTTTTTTGCGAAAACATGAATTTAAAAAAAAATATTACACAAAAACTAAGACAGCTAAAAGAAATTTTTTCTTACTTCTGCAAAGAAGAAAGTACAGAATTTAAAGCTGTAGCAATTTTTTAGTGTTGTGCATTTGTAAAGATTAATAAATTAAGAAGTTTGTTAAAAGTTAAATAACTTAAAAAAATTAAATGGAACACCCTATTTTTTATTTTTGCATCTAATAGAATGATAAATTGTCTTTATAAAAAAATAAACTTTTAATGCCTAGAATTGTTAAATGAAAAGATAGTTAACATTCAATATTAAGAGTAGCAACAATGCCTATCAGCATTGTTGATACTATGGAAAGCCTAGTAATTCCACCACGGATCACTTATCTTTTGATTTATCCAGAGATTGTAAAAGTCGTTATAAATAATGAAATTCAAATTATTTTGTTGTAAAAATAAAGAATAATGGATTAAGTTTAACACAAATGTGATTATTAAGTGATATTTCTTCCATCTATTATGCAACTCTGCACTTTTTGGCTACTGAAACAATAGTAAGTCAATTTAATAATCTTTTAAATGCAAAAACAATAAATAGGGTGTTCCATTAAAATTTTTTAAGTTATTGAACTTTTAACAAACGCCTTAATTTTTTTATCTTTGCAAATGCAACACACTAAAAAATGTTGCAACCTTATGGCTTATACCTTCTTCTTTGCAGAGTAAAAAAAATATTTCTAGATGTCTTAGTTTTTGTGTAATAAATTTTTTAAAAGTGCATGTTTTCGTCAAAAATACCGTCTTATTTTTAAAACTAAGCAAAATCGACCAACAAAAGTTTAGCTTTTTATCAATTTGTATATTTTCTCCATTCTTTTCTTTTTACAGTGACATTTATTTTTTATGTTGTTAAAAACCTTTATAATACGTAGCATTACGAGTATTTAATTTGAAATTGCTAAAAATCAGAATTCAAAGATAAATTGCATTTCATCTATGAATCCATATGGAAGATTATTTCGCGTACGAGTGTTTAAAAAAAATGATAGGCTTTTGTTTTTAGTAGAACTAATAATACTTTTTTTAAACTAAAATGATCTGCAACCTTCTGCTTGCTTTAAAAAAAAACAGGGTGTTTCACAACTTATCCGACATTTTTTGTCTTAGTAACAATTTTAAATGAGAAGTCAAGTTTTTAAAAAATGACCAGAAAACAAATTATGAAAAATTGCTAAACTCTGCTAAGAGTATCAATTCTTAATTCTTATTTATTGTCTGTTGGATTTTGGTTCCATTCCAAATTTTCGAATAAAGAGTAAGTTGTGAAACTTCTGTATTCTTTGTTCTGATCAATGATCTCATTCTAACAATCTTAAAAACTCATAA